TGTAATGTACTTCGCAAAGTTTTTGGTGCCCAATACTCGCAACACTAAAATAATTAAACAAGATATCTTTTAAAATGTCATTTTACTCTTGACCATATTATTTATTCGCCTTGAATTTCAAATCGATTACATATCGAACTTCTGTACATGTTTTTGTATACTGCCTTCTGCGTGCAAATAATGAGGTCATACTCATGTCACAATACTTTGAAGCTGATGCCATGTTGATGCCATGAGACTGCGAAGCTGAGGCCACGATGATGCCACAAAATAGCGAGGCGAACACAGCTTCAATTTTCAATGACGCGAAGCTGATGCCACAATGATGCGATGCTGAGGCGACAATGAAGCCATGCGTAGGCGACAATGATGCCACAAAAGCCAAAGCTTCCGCGAGAACTGTACTGTAGGTACTACAGGTAGACCTCTCTCAGATTTGTTAATTTGATATCTCCAATTCTCTAATTTTAATGATTATTTTTGACTTTTTCAGTAAAAAGTGATAAAATTTCCAACTTCTCGTTCAAAACAGCAAGTCTGATTGCTATACATACTATACATATTGTTGATTTTCTAATATCTTCAGTTCTTTAATGAAATGTGCTTTTCTATCAACGGAGCTATCTCGGTCGACAGGCTGCTTGTTTTTATATCTCACCTAATTTGTGATGTGCGTAGAGTTCATCCAAGGATAAGCACACTTAAAATATTATCATGAAGAAATTGACTCAGAATCCTAAATGATTAGCAAATGCTAAATGATTTCTGTGGACATTTGTAGCCAGTAACAGAATAGGCATATCCACAGCTGTGAACTAATATATGTAACTTTAAAATCTGTGAAATATGGCGATATTTACTCCCTCAACTTGGTATGCAACAGTCCAATTGCAAAAGGGTTTGGTACCATCTTTCATTTTAAAGTCTTTGTAAAGTATGGTATCAACAGTCTCAAAGTCACTTTGGTTAGTCAGTCTATGTCCCTTAGAGCTGGTAGGATAACCATAAGCAATGCCAATATTTTGGGATAGACCTGCTTTCACACAGACAATTGCTGTATCTGTGGAAACCCCAGTACCACGATATTCATCTAACACACATGTTAGGTACATTTCTAAAACTGTTTTTCCACTCGCTAAAGCTGCTTTCGTCTCATTCAGTTTGAAGACCCTTTTACGAACTTCACCTACAATTGCAATATTTGGTTGCATGACTTGTAATTCAGGGAAATCATCAACATTATCAACCAGATCACTATCGCTAGTAATGACAAACCCTAAAGTAACCCC